CAAGGATTGTATCTTCCAGTGGTTATATATACCAAGGATTGTATCTTCCAGTGGTTATATATACCAAGGATTGTATCTTCCAGTGGTTATATATACCAAGGACTGTACTCTTTCGGTGGTTATATATACCAAGGATTGTATCTTCCAGTGGTTATATATACCAAGGACTGTACTCTTTCGGTGGTTATATATACCAAGGACTGTACTCTTTCGGTGGTTATAGATCAAGGACCCTTAAATATATTTTCATTGTACTTCAGTGTATTTGAACTCATGCTTTAAAGTGGATATATGGCCAAACAATATAACAAAAGAAAATAAAAAGACTATTGAAAAACGTGACCAGCATAGAATTAGTTTTACACTTGAATTAAATTATAATTAAGATGGTTTTATAACCTGTTTCATTGTATTGAGTAAATAAAATAAACCCAGGAGGCTCATACTACATCTCTCATAGACACAGAGATTGAAATCAGTCATAACTAATTAAAAATCTTCAACGTTTGTATAAGCGCAATGTAAGGAGAATTTACGTTCTAGCTCTAACTAGACAAACCCCTAATCTGAGTTTATATCGTTTCGTTAGCCTTAACTGTTCGAGTTATTCACTTAATTCTCTCTTCCGTTCACACGAAATAGCATTATTTCTTACCTACCTATTTCTGTGTACATGTAAAAAATCAGTGGTCAGATTTAAAATGTTTTGTGATGAGGATTTAAAATCCCTTAACTATTCGTTAGTTTTTGTGTTAGTATTATAAAAGTTAATTACTTAGTTTTTAGATCATAATTTACTCTTTTTTTCTCCCATGTCTTTTTCTTCATTACTAAACAAACTATCCCAGGTTTTGTTGGTTTGTTGATAAGTACAAAACTACACAATGAGTTATCTATGCTTTGCCCATGAGGGTATCGAAACCCGATTTTGAACATGTTAAGCCTCCAAGGATGGAGACGCAACTGTTCTATTAGTTACGGTGTAAATATCACAATTAATTAATTTTTTAAGCTAATCATTTTTAACAATGTATGTTAGAGAATTAGTTATTTTTAATTCTTTCAAAACAGTATCACTTTAGATTAATCCTAACAACATATTTTTTATTTTCTCATGGCTATTCCGTCAAGTTTTGTTTTAATCGGCCCACGAAAACTGTCGTGCTTTTTGTTGTTTTCTTTTAGAACAATATAACTTTATATTAACCCTAACAACATCTTTTTTTTCTCTCTTTCTCTCTAAGCTATTCCGTCAGGTTTTGTTTTAATGGGCCAACGAAAACTGTCACTTGCTTTTTCTGTTCATCACAATATGAGGGAAGGAAATATTTTTTTTTGTCTTTCATTCCGTAACTTGGAAACCTTCCGACTGATTTTCGTCAATAAAATTAGTGTTTTTTTTCTTTTACTTTCAGTCAACAGAGGTCACCTTCCAAGAATCAGCTTAACGTATTATCCAGTAGAAACTGATGCCCAGTATACATTTCTAAGAGATGTAATGTGACAGAATACAGTTAAAACCATTGACAAAAACTCTTCATCTTCTCCACCAAGATTAAACATGTTCCATAAAAGACCATTAAAGTGTCAACGGTTTCCAGAATGCTGTTTTATGCTAGTTTCATTTAGTATTACCAAATGTAATTGTTTGTTTGTTTCTAGTTGAGCACAAAGCTACATAATGGGCTATCAAAACGGGTATCGAAACCCGGTTTCTAGTGTTATAAGCCGGCAGACATACCACTGTGCCACTGGGGGGCAACAAATGTGATTATAATTCCATATTTTTAGTATAATATCAAACATGGTAATCTTGCGCCATTTAATTTCCCCGCAAAGGGGCTGAAGGTGCCTGAAGGGGTTACCTGTTTTAGCCTCATGTAAGTGATATAGTAGTGTGTTGTCTATCAGTTAGTCAGCAAACACTAAAATGACGTCACATAAGGGACATCTAACGTTGCAATTTATGCTGTCGTGACGTCAGTAAAACGTGCGCACGCCATGAATCACGAGAATAATTATGCATTCTCTAGGCTACAACACAGCATGACAAAAGCAAGAAATAAAAATATTTGTTACTGTTCATTTTGGTTTCATTTAGTTTTGAAACAGAACACTTTCAGAGACCCTGCGGAAGTACGTCTAATAAAGTAGCAATATTTGGATGACTACAATGTATGACACTAAACAGTGAAAGGTCAGTACAATACAATAAAATTGTAAATATTGTTTATTATACAATGTAGCTGTGTAACTAACTTGCCCTTTCTTTCTTCTTTATTGTTAAACATTAAGTTGCACATTCAGCTGCTTATTCGTACTTATTTAGTGTTATAAGCCCTCAAGCTTACCGCTGAGCCACCAGAGTACAGTTAAGAAGTTTATGTAGTAATAGCATGTAGTAATTCAAATAGAATTAGGAATTAAAAACACAGTCAAATGGTTTTGTAATACATAAGCGATTTCCATTTTTTTAGCTTAAAATATTTATTTAAGTAACAGCTATCAAAAAGAAGAAATAAAGATAAGAAAGCCTCAGCATAGAAGCCGAAACATCATCCCGCACTAGAAACGGTCAATTAACTACACGAACCTAACCCTACCATAATTAAGTTTTGTTTGTCAATAAATAACTTCTGAAAATAATTGATCGACTGCTGCCATCTGTTGGGATAATTTTAACAATACTTAACATTAAAACGTGTTGGAAAGCACCAGCGTACCGCGGTTGATTCATATGAGAGTTTAAAACTTAAACGTAAATCAAATTGACTAGATGAAGTTAGCGAGAAAAAAATCATATTCGATGGAAAATATTATAAAATTAATTTCTAAAAAAATTTTAAAATCTGAAGTATATAGAACTGAACCGCATAACACAAGCTACTTTTGTCTGGAACTTGATCATGTTGAATTAATTAATTAATAACATACAAAATTACTTATCAGAGTAGGTAGTAACAATATTAATCATTTATTTTATTTTATCCATTATATACGATGGTACAAATTTTGAAAGACTATGTTGGGTATACCACTCCTTTTTTGTTTACATATAAAACACTATAACATCCCATTCATTTACGAAACCTATTTAGGTACAATGGAAAACTGCTCCAGGGGACAATGCCCGGAGGATCCTGCCCCCTCACTATATAATGGTTCCTTTCTTTTGGAAAGTTTATTGTTTTCCTGTGTCCACTCGTTGACTCGTTTGACACACCCCAACTTTGTTCTACGGTAAAACTACGGTTAGTTTTATAAAATTATATTATAACTCAGTAAAATTGCATTTACACTTGCTTTAAGTACAACACAATTCACATATTACGTGAGTAGTAGAGCACTTTGAGCGCATATGTATTTACTCTTTTTTTTTTTAAGTTTCATTTCAGTTAAGTCAAATATTATACTCCAAAGTACAACTGGTAGAAAATCATGGTGAATGCAACGTGTTAATACATGCTACAACGAGATGGCGTAGTTACAGAATAATTTTAATACATACCACGAGATGGCGTAGTTACAGAATAATTTTTAATACATACTACAAGATGGCGTAGTTACAGAACGGGCTAATACATATCACAAGATGATGTAGTTATAGAACGTGTTAATACATACCACAAAAAATGGCGAAGTTCGAGTTCTATGTATTGTTAAGCGCAGAGTCCTTTACTATACCTCTTCCACGTTCTCCTCTACTCTGCTTTCGGTCTGGCATGGTTAGGGTGCTCGACTGTGGGCTGCGGGTTCAAAATCCCCATCACCGAACATGCTCGCCCTTTGCCGTGGGGACATTATAATGTAACGGTCAATCCTTCTATTCTTTGGTAAAAGAGTAGTCCAAGAGTTGGGACTGGGTGGTGTCCACTAGCTGCCTTCGCTCTAGTCTATCACTGCTAAATTAGGGATGGATAGCGCAAATAGCCCTCGGCTAGCTTTGTGCGAAATTCAAACCAAACTCTGCCATTCCGCTACCGTTTACGTATGTCTTCAAATCCTACTTGTTCATTTATAAAAAGTGTATAATTAATAACAATCACCTGCAATACATTTTGTGATCAATTTATCTTAAGATCTTCCTTGCTAGTTTACGACAATATGTAATTAATCACAATAATGCACAAGATATCAGTGATCTGTTGTAAGAACGTTTCTGCTGAACTAAAACAATATATACATAACCACACTCATTTGCAAGAAATTAAGTGATCAGTCTCCCCAGTGACACAGCGGTATCCGGGTTTCGATACCCGTAGTGGGCAGAACACAGATAGCCCATTGTGTAGCTTTGTATTTAATTACAAACAAACAATTAACTATGTCTTACAAACATAGTTCCCGAATTAAAAATATACGAGATTACATCCATTTGACGACGGAAAAACTTCAGTTTTAACGTAGGTAGTGAAAATTATTACAAAATGTCAACTTTCAATATGCCCTCTGTTGATTTCAAAACTTAACACGATACTTTTTTTTTTTTAGATAGAACGTTTACTTATTTATGTCCCCCGATGGAACAGCGGGAGTTCTACGGACTTACAACGCTAAAATCCAGGGTTCGGTTTCATCGCGGTGGACAGAACAGGTAGCCCAATATGACTTTGCTCTGAATAACAAATGAAACCAATAAAACAAAAACAAAATACTTATCTATTAAATAGACATGTATATCTATTCAACTTGCTAGATTCAAATAGAATATGAGATGAGAAAACTTGCATAAACCATTTTTGACAATTCGTTAAATGAACTTCTACAATAATAGCTAAATTCATTCGCGGGTTGAGCCATTTTTGAAATCCGACCTACTGAATTAGATCATTACCATACCTTATCCAGCTGCAAGACGAAACATCTGGAGTCTCTCGGTGAGGTGGTGGTAAGTTTACGGACTTACAACGCTAAAATAGCAGATAGCCTAATGTGGCTTTGCTCTAAACCAAACAACCAAACAAACATCTGGGGACCTGTTGAAACCAATTTTTGAGATCTAATTAACTGAATTCAAATGATTATAAACCATAACAAACACACGTGAGACAGAAAACTTCCTTCGTGCTGTGTAATATCTAGCGGTTGGTTTCGTACTTATGATGACGTACATAACATTACTTCAGTACATATTTTTCTACGACAAAAAAAACATATTATTATCTATCAGTCCACAGTTTATTAAGCGTCTCATCAGCCAAGACAACATGATTCTCAAGTACCTGTACAAGGCTAGACAGAATAAACGAAATGTCAACACTTTACTGAAATTATATAAACGTTTCATTGGTGTTTATAATTACATGCGAGCAAATAATTTTACGTTAACATTAAAACCTCTTTATTCTATATCAGCATTCCTTATATATATATGTATATATATATTCATTGCTTTTTGTTTGATAATCTTATGTTAACATTAAAACCTCTTTATTCTATATCAAGATTCCTTATATATGTATATATATATATATATTCATTGCTTTTTGTTTGATAATCTTATTTTAACGTTAAATGTCTTTATTTAATAAGAGCACTTTCTGTGTAATATTTTGGTATATTTGGTTTTATAATTATTTTCTGAAGAAATTATCCTATTTATTGGATGTTATTAATTATTTACAATCACTGATTACCGTCTTAACAAATCTAACACTAAATATACTTGATTAAGGCAGTTTGGGACTATAGGAGCTAAAATAATTGATGGATGAGCACCACGGTTTAGTGTGTAAAATGATGATAAGCTTTCCGTTATTAGCACCTCTCCTGAAACAACTCAGAATACGTTTCTTTGGCCACGAAAGGTTTACTATAGCTGCTTGAAATAAATTCGTAAAACCTGTCTAGCAAAAAAATATGTAAATCTTCTAACTGGTTGTTAACCAAAAGTTAGTCTACGACGCAGCAGTAATGAATCATCTGCTCCATCAATCTTTTAAAGTTCATTGTAATAATCAAAATACATTTTTATCAGAGTTTTTCAAAACCCTTCTAATTAATTAACTAGCATCTACAGAATGTAAACATTACTAACTGTGTTGAATGTATCTCTTTAATTAGCGGTAGTAGACCCTATAAAATACATGTAGTCAATTTGCATAATTAACTGAGGGCACCGATCATAAAGTAATTTTTTACAATACTATTTTATTGTATTGTCTTCGCTGTTAATTAACCACGTGGGCTATCTCACGCAAGGAAAACCAGTGCATCAATCTATCACTAGAGTGCTAGTAAGCATGTGATGTCTTTCTAGAAAATTGAAACTTACATAAGAAGTTTTAGGACAGTGTGTTTCATATTCTTATTACCGAAACCATTTAAAGAAACACCATTTTGTATCTGATATAGTTAAAGATTCGTGTTTGATTCACACAATTATCAGGGTATTTTGAGTATATCTGCTCCTATCCCATCAGAACAGATGCGAAAGACGTTCGGCATGCCTCTTCTTCTACATCTTCAATTAATGACTGCCTCTTCTTCTACATCTCCAATTAATGACTGCTTTGGAATTTATAAAGCTACGAAGATGCCTTTACCTGATTGGGATTTAAGTTATTGACCAGTGACTTCCTGATTGAAATTTAAGTTACTGACCAGTGACTTCCTGATTGAAATTTAAGTTACTGACCAGTGACTTCCTGATCGAAATTTAAGTTATCGACCAGTGCCTTCCTGATTGAAATTTAAGTTACTGACCAGTGCCTTCCTGATTGAAATTTAAGTTACTGACCAGTGCCTTCCTGATTAACAATATTCTTGAGTTTTTTTCGCTCTTAAGCTTCTGGAACATCAACTAATGTTAACCACTCTAAAATGCATGCTTAATGTTTTCAGCTCATTCTTGTGACAATATCCGTACAAACAACGAATCTTAGATTTTATTTGTTAAGTCTCGACCAAAGCTATCTGTGTTAGCTGTTCCTAATTTTGAAGTCATATAATACCCATCACCAACTTGTCAGATCGAATGCGGACTCAGAATGCCATGTCACTCACGTCACAGAACTGATCGTATCATAAAAAAGGGGGGGGGACAATTTTTACACTGTTTCTATGTATGCATATGAGCAGTACACAAATATATTGTTAAAAGGAGACTGAAAGGTTATATAATGCACTGACCTATAACACACGCAGAAAAATCAGCTAGTCTTCCAAGATCCTATAGACATCCAACTAAGCATCCAACTTGTACTGAAATTTTGAAACACTTATTGGGATAAAGATATATCCATTTTACAAGTTATGAAATGGCTATAAAAGTATTATTTACAAGTCATAAACGTTTAATACAAATAACTCTGAAGGTGGATTTTTCTCTCTCTCTACTGCTACTGTGTTCATTCTCACAACGCTTTCTTTCCTCCCACTTTCCTCCAAATTTATTATTCTTCATTTGTTTCCTCTTCAGTGACTTGATGTCGTTTCTTCCAACCCTATAGCTGCTGCTAGGTTAGAAATTTCCCTTTTTTTATTCAAGTAACTTTCCTGAAGCTCCAACTAATGTATTATACATTTTATAGAGCGCCCCCAGAAAACTGAAATTCTACTCAAACTTATGTTTACATATTGCTAGTATTTCTAGTTTCGATGTTACATCTTCATCGTGTAGATGATTAGCAACTCAGATAATGTTTATTGAGAAGAGGACATATTTAAAATGCGATATTGTGTTATTCTGATCCTTTGTTCTATACCGTGCAGAAATGATCGGTCGGTCTGGATCTAGGTGATCAAAATTCTGTAGGTCGCGGGTTCGAATTCCCGTCACACCAAACATGCTCGTCCTTTCAGCCGTGGTGGCGTTATAATGTGACGGTCAATCCCACTATCTGTTGGTAAAAGAGTAGCCCAAGAGTTGGCGGTGGGTGGTGATGACTAGCTGCCTTCCCTCTAGCTTTACACTGCTAAATTAGGGACTGCTAGCGCAGCTAGCCCTCGTGTAGCTTTGCGCGAAATTCAAAAACAAACAAACAAACGTGAAATGCGATTTATCTGCAGCACAAGAAACTCAATGTTGTAGTGTAAGTGTGTGCTAATTTAATAATTTTATTTGTTTCGACTGCTTAATAAATGATATTATGCAGGGAAAGAGCTTATTACGTACGAGACGACAAGTGACGGTCTGTAAACCGGGTAATCTTATTATAATGGAGCTTGCGATGTATACGTCCAAAACTCGGATCTCGGAAACTACCGCACTGATCATCACCAATCATAACTGGGTAATATTTTTATATCTAGGCAATATTTTTATAACTGAACAATAAATAAAACAATTGAAATTTCCACAAAATTACATGTTTCAGACTTAACCAATAAAAATTACAAAGAAAGGAGTAAGTTTCAAATAAAAAACATTCAAAAAACAAACATAAAAAACTATTTGTATTTCTTTAGTGAAAATCTTATGATTATTGAAATAGAAAAGCAAGGCTCTTTCATTGATAACTGTGTCTACAAAGAAATACTTCAATAAAATCTACTCTGTGGTGTAATGCTGTGATGATAGCTCATTTTTTAAACTAATATTTCAATAAAATCCTTTTTCTCATGAATGGTGAACATTATTGAATGTTAAGTATGAGTACATTGTTGTAGAACTGTCAGACAATTCCAGAAAAGACCGCAGGCACGATAGTCTTCCGCAGGAACTAGCAGTTATACCTGCTGGAGGGCGGATATTTCTGCTAGTGTAATTAATGACAGTAAACCGGGTAACGTACTTAATGATACAGTTTCTGAACAGATTGACACACTCGAGGTTGTGGCACAGAAAAGCTTTAGCAGATGTGGTATGATAGCACAACATATCTCCCTCTGGTGGCAGCTATACTTGAGTTATAATTTCAGTAAGCCTAATGGCTTATAACGCTAAATATCGGGCACAGATAGCTCATTGTATAGCTTTGCGATTAGCAACAAACAAACAAAATTGCATGTCTGAAGTTAAAAATTGAAAGTCGGCAAAACATTTGGCAGGGAACTAATAATAATATCATTATTACTATTTATCAAATAGATAAAGTAGTTAATGCGGTTATCGACTTTAAAATACGTGGCCAATAAGTACCACGAAACAAATTAGACTGACTAAGATATAAGCTAATGTATTAAACGAGGTGTTTCATGCTGTTGGAATCAGGAATAAACCTATGTCAAGCTGTAATTGTTTGTTCTGTTAATTCACATTTAGATAACTAGTTAACAGATGTCTCCTAGTGTTAACTGTAATACCAGATAAATGTTTTTATCTTGTGTAGATGTTATTTTTACCATTTAGTATTCATCCCATCGTTGTTTCTAGTTTTAGGGGCGAAATTTCACAAACAAATATACTTTTAGAGCTACCTGTGATGCTATTGTAACAACAAACCAAAAACATGGTAGGTATTTATGATTTATTCAGTGGTCGCTCTTTACACCGTTCGTGATAAATGGTTAAATGTAGTAAAATTAAAATCATGTGTCAAAACAGGGCATGTTTTGTACTGTCTCAATTAAAAATGTTTCCTGAAAAGGATGAGTACAGAAAGAATAAAACTAAAGAGCTAATAGGCGAAACGGAGCAGCGGCAACAACAACAAATGGTACAGAACTCCAGATAGGAAGGAAGCTGTTAGAGAAGGAATGATACCAATAAATTATGGAGGGATAGTGAATATAATCTCCAAGGAAAGAGAACACATTCTTCAAAATAGAAGTAAATTAATACACTGGCTTAGATTGTGGTGAGGTGGTGGTGAATAATGACAAGTTGTGATACTTAGGGGTGAGTGGGGTTCAGCAGGAAGATTTTGAAGCCAGGAGGTCAATACATCTAAGGTTATAGTGGTGTCATTGCTATTAGAAGAGTCAGAATCAGTGATGGAGTTCAGGAGTTAAAATTCAGCTTGGAAGAAAACCTTAACTAAGGAAAATGTGTTTCTGTGAAGGCGTGATAGGAGATTTGACAAACAGAAACAACTTGAGATGAAGTAGAGATCAGAAGAGAAGACGTTTGTATTGAAACGTGATAGACATGAGGTACAAGAAACTGTGTAGAATGCGACTCAGAAAGTACACTGAAGCTGA